GCATAAAAATATCATTGTCTCACACAATTTTTGTGGGCCAAGAATTCAAGAGTGGCTCTTTTAGCTAGGTATCGTTGGCTTGAGTTCTCTGATGGTGTAGTCAAGATGTTTGTTACTACTGCAGTCCCCTAAGGCTTGAATGAGGATATTTTCTTTGCCCACATAGCTGTTGCCAAGAGGCTTCATGAGTGTCTCCATGAAATAGCAGCTAAAGCTCATATAGGTGTTTTATTTATGATCTTCCAGAAATTATACATTCTGCAGATGCACAAATCATAGTGATAACACAGTTGAGGCCCATTCTTCATGGGAGAAGACTAACAAGGACAGGAGGGCTTAGAGGAACCATTCTGGAAATTGACTGTCATAGAGGTAGCATTTAGTTACATGTTTACAAAACAGTTGGCTCTGTTCATGAAAACAGCAAAAGAAAATTTTATGATTATAGCTAATTCTGTATTGAACTTTTAATATTCCTCTAACATTTTAGTAATTTCAGTTATCATTCAAATATTGATAATACTGACCCCCCCCCCCCCCCCCCCATCATGTTCTTGAAGTGATGAGACAGGTGTGGTCATTTGTACATCTTTTCTTCTGGAAACTAAGAGCTTTAAATTTCAAAATGTCGAGGAAATACTACATAAACTGCATTCCACAGGTTTCCAAACTCTTAGACCATGGTAGCTTTATAGGCTAAGAAAGCCAGTTTACCAGACAAAATTAATATTCCTTAATACTAATGAAAGATTATATTGTTTTTAGAATACAGAATACAAAGGGGAGTATTGGGCAGAACATCCTACGATAAAAATTTTTTGGGAAGTATTCCATGAATTACCTTTGGAAAAGAAAAAACAATTTCTGTGTAAGTATTTCTAACCGATATTTTATTGTAGGAATTTAATTGTTATAGAATAAGTTGTAGATTTGATTATATAATATACAACAAAGTCCTGTTTTTAAGCTAATTTTTAAAGCACTTATCTGTATCATTAGCATGTGTTTGAATATGAGAATATTTCAGCAACTAAATTTAGTAGGCCTCCAAAACAGCTTTGGATCTTACAAATTTGTTATATAAACTATAATTGTAGAATCTTTTTTAGAATTCCTAAGATTTTTGGAATGTAGCTATTTTCTGTCGTCATTTTTTAAAAATTTGTTTTAGCACCAAAACTTTGGCAGTTTCTGTGGAAAACAGTTTTTGGGTCTTTTGTGTTTATCTGTCACATCTGAATTTTATGGCAGGCCTGGTGATGGTAATCCCAGCACTAAGGAGTTCAGGCAGGAGTTTGAGTCCTTGCTAAAAATAAATAATCTGAGTTCTAATTGCAGTTTGACTTGGTGGGCCACTTCTTTGTGCTGATACTAACATTTAAGAGGTAGTTTGCAAAAGCGTAATTAGTATGTGTCTCAAAAAACTTGTCTTCCATTATTCCTACCTTAGAGCAGATTTTCATGTGAGACTATACTACAGTGACTACTGAATATTAGTTGCCACTCTTAAATGATTTTCTTGTTGGCAGTATTTCTGACAGGTAGTGATCGCATTCCGATTCTCGGTATGAAGAGCCTGAAACTAGTCATCCAGTCAACAGGAGGCGGTGAGGACTATCTCCCGGTTTCCCATACCTGTTTTAATCTTCTAGATCTTCCAAAATACACAGAAAAAGAAACTCTACGCTCTAAACTGATCCAAGCTATTGATCACAATGAAGGCTTCAGTTTAATATAACTTCAGAGATGAAACTATTCAGTTTAGTGCAAAAGCATTAAACTACTTGTGTTTTTCTGGTTGTGATGAATTCAGCAAAGTGACAAAGGTACTATTATAATTCTTCCCTGTGAAATGTCCAGTGCTATGAGTACTCATGGAAGCCAAAAAATATTAAAGGAATATGAACACAAACTGTTAATACTAAATTTACTGTACAGAACCGTGGAATTCTCCCATCTCCCACATAAACATACAAGTATTGTGAATACATTAAAGTTTTACTAACATGAATTTTAAGAGTTTGCATATTTCAGAAATGATCTGATGTGTGAGTGCATGGAAATGTTGCTTAATTTTTCTTCAATCACTGGGTGAGAAACCTTTAACTTTGGCCTGCAATAGTCATTTAATTATTTTTCCATTTTGTAAATAGTAAGTTTTGTAATAAAATAGTTATTATGTTCTGATACCAGTACAGTTTCTATGGTTGTAATTGAGCTGAACTGAATTTAAGGATTAAAAATTATGATTTAAATCTTTACTCTGAGATTCTATAAAAAGGAAAAAAGAAGCATGGTGGAAACAGTCTTTGCATTTTTGCTAGAACAAATATCTGTGCAATCCTAAATTACAGATAGGGATATTAAGTAATTTATGGTTCTCTTGTGAATCCTGACATACTCATAGATGGGAGGTTATCAGGAAGCTTCTTGATTATTTAGTAATGGAAGAACATTCTCTACAGTTGCCAGAAATAGAAACATGGCCGCTATGAGAACCAATCACTGAGTTATAGCTTCTAAACTATTGATGGTGCAGGTTGTATGTAGTCAAAATTTTCAGTGCTTAAGAACTATTTCCTTGAATTTTAACAGTTTTATGGTGCTGATGCTTAGTTTATCTCATGTCATTACATTGTACAAGTCAGTTGATGCAATCCGTGTGACTTTCTGCTATAATACAAATATTTATTTTTTAAATTTATAAAAATATGCCGTGAAAACTGTTTGAATAATAAAGATTTATTGGTTTAATATTTGAACTTTCAGTGGTTCTCCTAAGATTCCAAGACTCTTTAAGAAGGGGGTTACCTCAGGGAAAGTTTTTTAAATTTTGGATTATATCTTCATTCCCTTATAAATTTACATTTTATAGAGGTATATATCTGCAATTTCAAATTTTATTTTTTATTTTGTAGCAAAATATGAATTATTGAAGACATTGCTGATATTCACTAAATGGACTTATGACCCATCTGGTGTGATACTAATATTTTAGGATATTCTCAAAAGCTTACTTCCAAAATGCAGATAAGTCCAAGGGCTTGGAGATGGCGATTGTTGACCTGTACTTTTCAGTAGTTTTTAAAGCAACTATTGAATCATGGTTGTATTTTACAGAAATCCATTAAAATAGCATTTTCATTTAAGGTAATTTTCCTTGTAGGAGCATTCTTCCATGCATATAGTTATACTATTTCTGTCTATGCTTTGTGGGTGGTGATACTTCAGATGACAATAAAAACACCTATATGTGTCAGGGACTTTTTTTCATTAGTAATCTTTGTTATGTATGAAGTTGATCTGTGAAACAGCAGCCACTTTGAAATGAGAATTCCATGACCAGGTATTTTAATGAGGACATAATAGCTTACCATACAAGGCTTAATTATTGAGGTAAGTGATACTTCTTCCCCCGGTTACTATAGACTAACATTGTAGCATTAATGACAAGACTATATGGCAGCAAAAAAATACCAGTGAAAATATTTCAAGTGTGTGTGTGTGTGTGTGTGTATGTGTGTGTGTTGTGCTGGTACCAGGGTTTAAATTCAAGGTCTCATTGTTTTCAGTTGATTTGTAGGTTGATAATTCAGGTGGTAATTCTTGCCTTTGGTCCACATTTTTGCTGGATATAAATAGAATCTCACCAGTTTTTGTCTGCCTGAATTGGCATCAAACTGTGATCCTCCAGGTTTTAGCCTCCTAAATAGCTAGGATTATAGGCATGAGCCACCATTTCCTGGCTTGTCATTTAAGAAGACCCTCCTGCTTTGTGGATCAGAGTAGCAAGTGAAAAAATACTGAGTCTGCTATTATAGAAACTATGGTTATTGGGTTGGCTAAACTTGAACCTCCAGATATTTGAGGCAAATTAAGCATCCCAGTGATTTTTTTTGTTGGGGCGGGGGGGGCGGGGGGGGGGGGGGAGTTCTGGGGCTTGAACTTGGGACCTGATTGCTGTCCCTGAGCTTTTTTTGCTCGATTAGCATTCCACCACTTTCTGGCTTTTTACTGGTTAATTGGAAGAGGCTCATAGACTGCAGCCCTGGCTGGCTTCAAGCCACCCCAATCTTCAGATCTCAGCCACCTGTGCCCAGCTGAGCAATAGCAAAGGGGTAAATTTTTTTCTAGGATTACAGATTTTTGTTGTCACACAGGCATGTAATCCTAGGGCCAGAGGCAAAGGATGACTAGCAGTTCAAAGGTTAGCATGGGCTTTTTAACAAGACTATCTCAGATTAAGCAAAATGAATTCTTGTACTACTTTATTAGGAATGTCTTTGTGTGGTAGTATGTGTAGCACAAAGTGGCAATTTTCACAAGGACAGTATATCCTTGTTCTTGGCCAGCTCATCTATAGTTCTTATGTACTTTAGCAATTGAAAACTACTTGTGGTAGTGGTAGTTTTATCTGCTTCCTTTAGCCAGGTTGAGCTCTCCCCCAATTCCATTATAAGCTTTTGCTCAAATCTGAGCAAATCACCTGTATTACCTTTCCACCCCCTTCCAATCCTGGGGCTTGAACTTTTGGGCCTGGATATTATCCCTGAGCCTATTTGTATTCAAGGCTAGTGCACTACCACTTAGGCCACAGCACCACTTCTGGCTTTTTCTGAGTAGTTTATTGAAGAGTCTCATAGACTTTTCTGCCTGGACTGGCTTGGAACCGTGATCCTCAGATCTCAGCCTTCTGAGTCATGAATCACCAACACCTGACTCTTGAATGTTTTCTGTTGCTTTTTTATTTTTGTACAAGTCATCCCCTGTGTCACTTAGGTGAGGCTCGGGCTGTAGGTACTTTAAGTTATTATTAATAGTCATTTGACAGGCACTCCCAAGGGAGAGGACTATTACTCCTTGTCTCTGCTGATACCGTAACTTGATTTGAGCTTGCTATCGGCTTGCAGGTACTGGGCCTGGTTCAGCTGTTTGTTTTAACTTAACTGTGGAATGATGAAACCCAAAAGCTGGACAAATTTATACAAGTTAACAGAAAAAAAAGTCAAATAACAGTTTTAATAGACTTTAAAACAGTGTACAAGTATAAAACACTGGTTTTGTATTTCAAAAGTTGGAGGAAGTATATCCAGTCATTAAACAGTCTACAAAACATATGCCAGTAGATTACATAAAAGACTATGTACAATATAAAAGAGCTGAAAACAGTCTTCACTGTAAAAATAATTTAAAACAAATTTCTCAATTTAAAATATCATCTATAGCACAAACACACCATGCAAATGGAAAACTAAATATACTGCATTCTTTAGTGTAGCCAAATAAACTCAGTTTGAGATGTCTTTCAGGTATGGAAATGACCATTCAGTAAGAGTTTTTCTCTGGCAATAATGGTCCTATTTGGGTATTAAGCAAAAAGAACAGCTGAATTTCAACCCCCTTTTTAATAAATATTAAACCAACAGGAATACTTCATAATTTGGGAGTAATGCTCAAAAAAATGGGTCTGTTAAGCACTTACTATGTAAGTTTGCAGGTATGAACTTCAAAAGGCTAAAAGCTTGTGCAGTTGAGAAAAATTATCTCTATTTAAGGCAGGCTAAGCTTTTAAATAAAGATACCTTATAGGAGCTAGCTAGTTTCATAAACTATTCTGCTATTACAATCAATGTTCATCTTCATAATACTAGGCTAGCTGTTTGGTATTCATTCCATTTCACCAAGTCCTCCCCATAGGAGACATGTACTTTCTGGCTGAGTTATTACTTTGGAACTGTAATCAGGGAACTGTTGCTCTCCTCGTTAATGGAAAAACAAGCAGTCCAAAATATTACACACTCCCCCAGTAGAAGTACCATTATAGATTCAAAAAGGCTTTGCATATTCACACCTTGGCAGTTTAATACTCTGAAAAAGGATCAATGCAAGCTCTACCACAGTGATAGGTATTTAAACAACAATGGCAAACACTCAGAACTAAGGGGATCAATGCAGGCACTATTGTTTCTAAAGCAACTGAAACATTTCCAAAGCATTTATTTGCTTATCAGGCTAGTTTTATGAGCCAATATAGACATTACTACATGTCCTTAGGAAGTACAAAAGCCATTTTCATTTGAATAATAAATACAATACTTTTGAGCACCAAGTATTACACCAGGTGCTTTCCCACACATTGCTGACTTCGTTCTCATCACATTTCGTATCATTTTTTTTGTCTTAAAAAAGTTAGCTGCCACAAGTTTTGGAAGATGCCAGTGTGTAAATCAAAAAGTTCAAGGACTTCAAACCATTCAATGTTACAAAGAAAAGTGAAAATACCATTCTTTGGTCTAGATAAGCTGTTCCCTTTACATTAGCATTCCAATGGCTTTTTGAAAACTTTTAAATGTTTAAACTCACTAGGCAAAACCAAAAACTATATATACATACAGATGTATCATACAAACCTTTAAAAGAAAGTTTTGACCAACAGCTGATTAAAGATACTTAGTACCTTTTCTTTAAAAAGTGTTAGTGTTGAGTGTACAAGAACAGAAATAATGGTTAAAAAATTACCCATGGGAAAAAGATCTATTTTATCAGTCTATACATATTACACCTTTCTGGTTTCCTTGCTCTACTGAGTTCACAAGTAAACATTCATTTTTGACATGCTGAAATTCCTAATGCTGGTGGAGCAATTCCTGTACCTGGACCAATTACATTATGATTTGTTTGATGGATAGCTCGTATCTGGTGCTTCCTGTTTCATTGATATAGCTTCATTAACTGGCTCTTGGTCATTTCCATCAACCCCGAATCCAGCTCCTCCATCTCGCTCTGGGATATCAGCATCATCTTCCAAGCCATTGTAGAATTCCTCAATCTCACTTTCATCTTCCATATGTTCTTCTAAACTTGGACTCTGGCATGTACCACTATCACTGTTACTGCCGCATGAACTAGAGGATAGGATATCATCTTCAGAGTCTGAATACACCTCAGCCCCATGGAAAATGTAGCGATTTGGTGGTAAAAACAAATACTGATTACCTGAAAAAGCAATAAACACTAGTTACTTTCAGTTTCCTGATACTGAACTGAACACTGATTAGAGTCAACTAAAGGTCTTGATTTTTTAACTACCACTGGAAGCTATTGCTTTTGTAAGTTTAGGGGGTTTTTTTGGGGGGGGGGGGAGGTCCGGTCGTGGGGCCTGAACTCTGGGCCTGGGCGCTGTCCCTCAGCTCTTCAGCTTAAGGCTAGCACTATACCACTTGAGCCACAGCGCCACTATTGGCTTTTTTCTTTTTGCTTATGTGGTGCTGAGGAATCGAATCCAGGGCCTCATGCATGCAAGGCAAGCGCTCTCCCACTGAGCCACCTTCCCAGCCCTGGGTTTTGTTTTTCAATAGTCTGTTAGTCAAATCTTAGTTCTACCCCTTTCGAGTTTTGTGAACAAGCATCTCCAAGTCTGTTTTCCCATCTAGAAAATTATACAACTCTCTAAGTTATAAAGTCCAGGAAAACATGTAGAGGTTCAGCTAGGTGCCAGTGGCTCACGCCTGTAATCCTAGCTACTCAGGAGGCTGAGATCTGAGGATTGCGGTTCAAAGCTAGCCTGGGCAGGAAAGTCTATGAGACTCTTATCTCCAATAAACCACTAGAAAACGAAGTGGCGCTGTGGCTCAAGCGGTAGAGCGCTCACCTTGAGCTGAAGAGCACAGGGACAGTGCTCAGGCCCAGAGTTCAAGCCCCACGACCGACACCCCCCCCCCCCAAAAAATGTAGAGGTTCATATTTAAATGTTAAAAGTGGGTTTGAGCTCAAGGACCTTAGGTTTGTGACTTAGCTCCTTGCTCACAGCTGGCACTCTACCACTTGAGCTTCTCCTTTGGTTTTTGCTGGCTAACTGGAAATGGAGTCTGTGTCTCCCAAATAACTAGGTATAGGCCTGGACTATCAGCACCCAGCTAATTTAAAAAAAAAATGTTTATGGTTAAGTGTAGTATTCAGTCTAGCCTACATTAGATACCCAGTTCATATTAAGTGCAACTGAAAACACATACTGCTCCCCTAGCCCTCTTTAGACAGGGTCTTAGGCACCTCAAACTGGCCTTCAACTCGACCATCCTCCTGCCTCAAAAGCCTGCTAAGTGCTAGGATGACATATACTTTGATCACATGCTTTTATAAATAAACTTTTCATTAACTTTTTTTCTCCCTATTACAAATATAAACTGTCAGTGGATGTCAAGAGGGTGGGGATGTCATGAGCATGTAAGAAAAAAAACATTACACTTAGAATTTATTAGGCTCAGATCAGAAAAGCTTATTTCGGCACACATTACCACTTAGCAGTTTTTTTGTTTTTGTTTTTTGTTTTTTGGAGGGGGGGGGCGGTGTCCTGAGGCTTGAACTTTGGGCCTGGGCACTGTCCCTGAGCTACTTTTGCCAAGGCAAGCACTCTACCACTTGAGCCACATCACCACTTCTGGCTTTTTCTGTAATTTAACTGGACTTTGCTGCCCAGCCTCTTGAGTAGCTAGGATTATAGGCATAAGCTACCACTGCCCAGCTACTTAGGTCAGTTTTTTAGACTGTACCATTACCCAAGTTCTCAGTGAAACCCTCCATGTAACAATTCTGACCTGAATCCATAAAATTGAGTTCACAATCTATTACACTGAAAGCCACTTAGTTTTCTAAGAAAAGAGTATTGAGTATTCTGTTTTCATGGAAGTGGCGCTGTGGCTCAAGTGGTAGAGTGCTAGCCTTCAGCTGAAGAGCTGAGACAGCACCCAGGTCCAGAGTTCAAGCCCCATGATGGACCAAAAAAAAAAAAAAAAGTATTCTGTTTCCTAAGACACTAGTATTAATTTGCAGTTGCAACACGGAGTTAAAATACTTAAAATCCATTTCTAATAGAAAATACTATGTGATTTTTTTGGGGGAGGCGGGGTCCGGTCATGGGGCCTGAACTCTGGGCCTGGGCGCTGTCCCTCAGCTCTTCAGCTCAAGACTAGCGCTCTACCACTTCAGCCACAGCGCCACTTCCGGCTTTTTTTTTTTTTTTTGCTTACGAGGTGCTGAGGAATCGAACCCAGGGCCTCAGGCATGCAAGGCAAGCGCTCTATCACTGAGCCACCTTCCCAGCCCATATTATGTGTACCCAGTTTTTTTTAAGGGGTCTCAGCATATGACTGTCTTACACTTTTCTATTGTTCTGGCCTCTACTACTAAAAAATGTTGTACTTGGCTCTGCCCTCCTCTCCAGAATTGAGTAAGTTGCTTAGTAGTAGAGTGCTTGCCCAGCATGCATGAAGCTCTGGGTTTGCTTCTCCACATAAACAGAAAAGGCCAGAAGTAGTGCTTGGCTCAAATGGTGTAGAGTACTAGTCTTGAGCAAAAGCTCGGGGACAGTGTCCAGGCCTTGAGTTCAAGCCCTAGGATTGTGGGGGGTGGGGGTAAAATTTATGTTTCCATTTCTTCCTTTTTGCACAATGTCATAGAAAGTACAAGTAGAGGTGGTAAGTGGCTAATGAAATGTGATCACAAGGTTTTAACAATTTTATTCTCTGTAAATGTTATACTGTCTTTTTGAGATGTATGCAGCCCACACTGGCCTGAAATTTGTAATCCTATCTCCACTTCCTGAGTTCTGGGATTTGCCAGTATGTAACTCCTAGCTTATGTATTTTTAAAAATCTGCACAATCGTATCAGGTATGTGATTTTATTCCCAATTTACAGATTAACTAATTTTGACCCAGAAGAAGTTGAGACATCTGATTCTGGTGCCTGTACCTGAAGGGTTAAATACTTGAGGCAGTGACCATTTGTTGCTTGTTTCAGAGCAGAGGCACAACATACCTAAGGTAAAAATTCTACTCATAGTAGAATAAACCTATGAATGATATAGAACAGACTAACTCTAAGTTTGCTCTGTTTCCAGAGACAGTGATAATGCTTGTTAAAGATATTGAACAAAACTACATCTGCAAATAAAAGAATATCATCTATTCAAAACTCATTATTGTTTAGAAAGTTAGGTTTTTTAGAAAGCTTTCTAAACCCAATCTTATGAGTAGAACCTATTGTTCGGGTGTTCTGTTTAAAACACAGTACTTTGATCTGTTTCAACAGCATCCACTAAAATAATGAGTTGATCAGCTTATTTTTATGTTATGCAAACATGAGATCATTTTGTCTCCAAAATTTAGAATAGTACCTTTGTAGGGAAAAAATCAACTGAACTAAAATGTCTTTACAGCAAATGAATGGAACATTTTGTACACATTCATCTAAAGTCTGAAGAGTTTTACACCAAGTATGGTTAAGTAGAATGACACAATGTTTTAAGTTATCCAAAACAGTTAAACAGGACATTTTCTTTCCATTGACAAAATTAGGATTCTGCCCACATATACTATTTTGACTTAAAACATCAATTTCCAAAAAGCAAAAGGCTATTTCACCTTTTTTAATACTGACAGACTTTTGTTTTTTGGTGCCAGTATAGGGGACTGATTTAACTTAGGGATTTGCACCATTGCTTGGCTCGTGGCTGGCCCTCTAACACTTGACCCCTGCTTTGCTAGTTATTTTGGATATGGAGTCTCACTTCTCTTCCCCACAGTGGCAGGTGACCTGCATATGTCCAAACAGTATATATGTCAGTTTTTTTTGTTTTGTTTTTGGGTCCGGTCGTGGGGCCTGAACTCTGAGCCTGGGCGCTGTCCCTCAGCTCTTCAGCTCAAGGCTAGCGCTCTACCACCTGAGCCACAGCGCCACTTCCGGCTTTTTTTCTTTTTTTTTGCTTATGTGGTGCTGAGGAATTGAACCCAGTGCCTCAGGCATGCAAGGCCAGTGCTCTACCACTGAGCCACCTTCCCAGCCCCATGTCAGTCTTATTATCAGGGAAAAATTGCACAATGGTTAAGCCTCTGAGGAAATGAATTTGGTTCTTCCACTTCCTAATTGTTACCTTACAGAGTTTAACCTCTCTGGGCCTGTTCTCAGAGAGCTATGTTTGTATCTCATGAGAGGTAGCTTATAGCACCCAAATCTTAGCCATAATTCTCATCAGACAATGGCACAACATGCAATGTAAAACCTATTCTCAACTTAATATTTATCTTCCCATACTCTAGCAGAAAGACAACATAGCTAACCAATAAAAGTAAATACTTCTCTATTATTTAAGATAAATCAGATTTAAATCTCTTACTACTACTTACCAGTTGACAACCTGGGGGTGGGGGACAGCAATAGTTAATGGTTACAACCCTTGTCTAGTTAATATGCATGAAGCCCTGGGGTTGATGTGTGTGCACTCTCCCTCTTAAGTCAGCTAATTGCCCCAAAATACTTATTTCGTTTTGTTAAAATAACTGTACTGTCAAATGGATCAATAGAATTTCTTACCATCAAGCCGCTTACTGATCTGTTCCTTTGGGAGTCTATTGGGCCAACACTTTCTCACCGTTTCAGCAACTGAAGTTATATCATTTTTCTCTTCAGTACTAGAACCGACATCCTTTAAATCCGAATTTTCCACAGTAATACTCTCATTGTTCCTAATAGAAGTCTGTACTAATTGTGGTTTTTCTTCCATACAACTTTTTGATTCAGATATGACTAAATCATCAACTTTACTCTTAGTTGCTGTAACAATTACTTTAGAAACTGGTGGTGAAGTTCTTTCAGGTGAGCTCGACTCTTCTGAAATATGAAGTGGTGTTGGTGGTAACTCTAAGAAATTAACCAACTCTTTTTGTGTTCGTGGAGGTTTTTCAGTAATTTCTGAAAGTTTTACAGGGTTACAGCAAAGTTTGGCATATTCACCACCTAACCTATGACACAATTCATTAATTATGACATCACAGTCTCCAAGAAGCTCTACATCAAAATGCAGATGAGGCAATGGTTCCCTATTAATTAATATCTGAGGCACTTCATGGGGTATGGAACCTAAAAACAAGGTGAAAAGCAAGTGTTAGAAAAAGAAAATGCTAATAAGACCACAACAAATGCACTATGCCAATAAAGACACCCTCCAGTAAGTTTGATTAAAACCTAATCCCTCAGAAAGAAAAAAAAAAAAACCTAACCCCTCAGAATTAACTGTTTTCTTCTCTAGAGAGAAGAAAATTTCCCACAATATTTGAGTTGAGGATAGAACATTAATGTTAAGTTACCATTCAGTACTATTGCAGTCTGTGATTAACAGTCCTATAAATCTATACCATCACCTTACATTTCAACCAGGTGCTAGTAGCTCACACCTGTAATCCTAGTTAATCAGGGGGCTGAGATCTGAAGACCAATGTTTAAAGCCAGCCTGGTCAAATATTTGAGACTTATAACCAGCAAAAAGCCGAAAGTGGAAATGTGGCTGAAAATGATAGAGAAAAAAAATAACAAGGAGTGCAAGTGTCAGTCTAGTACACAGAGTTTTAGATTTTCAAAATGATTTTTGCCTATCATGCTAACATATTACACCCAGTGGTATGAGCTTATAATCCCAACTACTTGGGAATTAAAGCAGGAGTCCTCATCAGGAATTTGAGACACTGTCTCAAAAACAAAACACAAAATGGCTTAAGTACATGGTTCATGTGGTGTAGCTCAGCATGTATGAGGTTCTGAATTTAATCCTCAGCACTGGAATAAATAGGCTTGCATACTAGATTTTCATGCTTCAGATAATTACAAATAATTTCTTGTCTTTTTTTAAAAATGTATCATAAAGGATCATGATATAACATGAGGTTACCATTTATGTAAGTCAGGTATGACTACATTTCTTTTTAGAAAACATTACCCCTTCACTCCCAGTTTTTAATTTCTAATCTTGTAAAGTAGGATTTCGCAGTTATTTAGGGATTACCAAATTAATTGCTAAAAGGCTACCAAAGGTAGCCTGGAGACTTTGATTATGTTTCTCCCAACTATTTCAACTGGCTATTTGATTGATGGTGTTTCTCTCAAAGGACACACCTGAAATAATGAGGAAGAAGGTAGTATGAAAACATGCCAAAATTATTCTGGCTTCAAATTACACATAAGCATGTGTATGCTTGCGGGCTGGACCTGGGGCTTGAATTTAGGGCCTGGACACTTATTCCTAATCCTTTTTGCTCAATGCTAGCACTCTACTACTTGAGCCACAGCCCCACTTCTGGATTTTTGTGGTAGTTTATTGGTAAAATCCCACAGACTTTACTGCCCAAGCCTGCCAGGGGTAGCATCAAACTGATCCTCACAGACTTCAGCCTCCTGAGTAGCTAGGATTACAGGTATGAGACACACCCAGTGCCCAGCCACATAAGCATTTTCACACACAAATGTCCTTGGTGAGGTAGATCCAAACACAAACTTTTCTATAACAGAATAAATGACTACTACATTACTATCTTGTACAAGTGGATTACACTTCTGATAGGGTATAACTTTTCTTTTTGGTGCCATCACTAAGGCTTCAACTGAAGGCCTCACGCTCTTGCTTGGCTTTTTCACTCAAAGCTGGCACTACCACTTGAACCACAGCTCCACTTTTTAAACTTTTTACCTAGGATTACAGGCATGAGGCACCAGTGCCCAGCTAACAAGCCATACACATTTAAACTGACAAAAACAAAAACAAAATCCAACACCACTATAAACATATTAAGATCAAAAGTACATTAAGTTTATGTAAATTAATCAGAGCTAATCTCTGCCACATTAAATCATAGTACATTAAAAAGCTTTAGTTGAGGGTGATGGGAAGGTGATATTATAAAATACACATATAAAGAAACCTACCAAAAATATATGGATAAGGCTGAGTTTGATAAAGTACATATATGCATATTATAACTGTCACAATAAAACCCTCTTATAAATTTCATTCTAATAAAATTAGTTATCTTTGACTCCATCTTGACAAAAATGTCCTTTTTTCAAATAAAAAAAAATCACTTAAAAAATAAAGTTTAGTTCTTCACTACAAACATTAAGATCAGTAACAACCTATGGCATTATATGCAGAAATGCTCCCCCAAAACCATTACCAACTTACTTGGAATTAGTGCTACTGGTCTTACTTTTAGGGAAGACCCAATAACAATGAGAAGATCAACTTCATCTTTGTCATACTTCATAGCTCTGTGAAACTGTTCTGGTAAATTTTCACCAAAAAAGACAATCTCCGGTTTCATGATAGCAAGTGGTTCATCAGCTGGACACCTAGGACATCGAGGAACTACCTACATGTTGCAGATATTCGTTGGACATAAAGGGAAGCCCATGTTAGAAGTAATCATTTCATACAGCTGAAGAATGCATTTCAGAATTACCACAGAAAACAAAAGCTGTAAACAGGGGAACAACACAACTTAAATGTCAATAACATTTCAAATTTACTGACATAACGTTCAATGAAATACTATGATATTGTTTATAGATGTAGAAGTAGATTTGACAGTCACGAGTCCATCATCTAATTATGTCTTATTAACTATGCAGCAAAATACCAAAAACTTACCTTCTATGTTCTATTACTGCATTTTTTTGACCATATATACAAAATACTTCCATTTTCATTTTTTTACTTCAAAATACTCAAAAGCCAGGTGCTAGTGGCTCATGCCTATAATCTTAGCTACTCAGGAGGCTGAAACTGATAAACATGGTTCAAAGCAAGTCTATCATACAAGTACATGACTTAACAATTAGACTTTTAAACTATTATGCTGCACTGTTCACAATAGCTAGGATATGGAAACAACTCAGATGCTCCACCACAGATGAATGGATCCAAAAATTGTGGTATCTATACACAATGGAGTATTATGCAGCCATTAGAAATGACAAAATAATGGCATTTGCAGGGAAATGGATGGAGCTAGAAGAAATCATGTTGAGCGAGGTAAGCTAAGAGCAAAGAGACAAACAGTACATGATCTCCCTGATAAGTGGATGTTAAATCCAAAATGCTAGGTGATACGACAAAATTAACAGGACTTAAGAAACAAAGAACTCCCGCTCATCTGGTTGAACCACTACTAAATATCCCCATGCTGCTGATCACATGTATGGTGTATATGTGTACACCGTTATATGTTATAGACCGTGATAGACAATTTGCTCCAAGGAAGTTAGAATGAACTTGTGACTAAATGAGCATCATTATTCCACAATACTGAAATTTGGGAAATTATGTAATCACTTAATCACACACACAAAAAAAAGAACCCCGGGGAAGGTAGGGAGGGAAGAGATAGTAGGGGGAAAACAATGGAGGGGGTAACAATGCTCAATAGGAAGTGTACTCATTACCTTACTCATGTAACTGTAACCCTCTGTATAGTATCTTTACAATAAAAAATTGAAAAAAAAAAAAAAACTATTGTGCTGCTCAGTTCCTAAAGGCACAAGTTTTCAGGAGTAACAAACAAGAAAGACCTTTACCAAGAACTTTTTTTTTTTTTTTTTGCTGCTGGTCGTGGACACTGTCTCTGAGCTTTCTTAGTCAAGGCCAGTGATCTGCCAGTTACACTTCCAGCTTTTTGGTGGTTAAGAGATGAGTCTCATGGAATATTCTGCCTTGAGCTGGCTTTGAATAGTGATCCTCAGATCTCAGCCTCCTGAGTACCTAGGATTACAGGTATGAGCCACCAGGGCCTGGCTTGAGTTGATTTTCTACATAATAAATGGCTCTGTATTCTTTATACAGTGTTAGTAAATGCACTGTCCACAGCTTCAGACTTTATCCTTCTGTTTCAGATCCAAAAGGTTGTGATTATAAGTATGGATCACCACTCAAGTTTGATTAAGAGTATCAAAGCTTCTTCTATTTCACCAGAATTTCCAGTGATACTGTTAAGAGTCTTGTGGATTCTTTTTTAAAAGGATTTAGAGACAAAAGAAGAGACAGACCAGAGACAAATACTAAAATATAAATACATAAATCACCTGATTAAAAATATCTCCTCGTACAGCTTCACAGTCAACTTTGTATTTACAAATCAGGCAAGATGCTGTTGCAAAGGAACCTAAAAGCAACCAAAATATGTTTTATTAAAAGACCATCTGTTTCTTGAACATAAAGATTAGTTTGACACAAGAGAGATTAGAGAATTTTAGGAAACTTGACAGAATTAAAACCTTTTTTTTCTTTTTTGGTCAGTCCTGGGGCTTGAATTCTGGGCCTGGGCACTGTCCCTGAGCTCTTCAGCTCATGGTGTACACTCTACCACTTGAGCCACAGCACCACTTTCAGTTTTCTAATGGTTAACTTAACTGGAGATAAGAGTCTCAACGAAGTTTCCTGCTAGGGCTGGCTTTGAGCCACTTCCAGCTTTTCTAGTTATGTGGTGCTGAGGAATAGAACCCAGGGACTCATGCATACAAAGCAAGCACTCTAACATTGAGCCACCTTCCCAGCCCAAAAGTACATTAATATTTGATGTTTTGTATAATTCAAGCATCAAGGTCATTTTTATTTTGTTTTTGCATTCTTTTGGGCTATACAGGTTAAGATTAATATTTGATAATAATGCCATCTCATTATTAATGGATAGCCTGCTTTCTAATAATCCTGTAAAACTAAATTACAGGGCGGGGAAGGTAGCTCAGTGGTAGACCACTTGCCTTGCATGCATGAGGCCCTGGGTTCGATTCCTCAGCACCACATAAGCAGAAAGAAAAAAAAGCCGGAAGTGGCGCTGTGGCTTAAGTGGTAGAGTACTACTAGCCTTGAGCTGAAAAGCTGAGGGACAGTGCCCAGGCCCAGAGTTTAGGCCCCACAACCGGACCCAAAAAAAAAAAAAAAAAAAAAAATACAGAAAGCCATTTTGAAATTTACTAACCATGACACTGAATTATCCTTTGGATTCCTGCAACCTGTTCCAAGGTATCTATATTCTGTGTATAGTTGCGAAGTAGTTTTCCTTCTTTATCTGACAAGGCTATGAATTTGTGACAGAGAGATGGTTGGAATTGTCCAGGATATATTTCCTACATAATGTAAAAGGTAGAAAAAAATTTATATTAATGATATAACATACATCCTGCTTAGGTTTAACAAAGTTTCCAATAACAACCCCCATGTAATCTTAAAATGCATGAGCACCACCTTAAAGCCTCTAGAGATAGATACAACACACACCTAAAGATTGTTTCTACAACATCTACAAAACTCAGCAATTAGTGAACTTGGTTCCTTTAAGAAAAGGATGAAAGTGACCCATAAATTTATCTAGTAAATGTTAACGTTTTAACAGAAGCAATACCTAGGATATCTAATTTTTGTTGGCTGCAAGTTCAGATTTTTCTTTAAGGAAAAAAGAAAACTTTACAATAAATTTACAAGTATCAAAAGAATGGTGACTTTTTAAACTAAAAAGAAAAAAAAGGCTGTCAACGTAAGATTAAAAAAATTTTTTGATTCATCATTCATTATAAATATCAACCTGTTGGAAGTTTAAAGCTAAAGTTTTAATTCCTTACCAAAATTGTTTTCCTTCCACTGCACAGGCACATACTGGGATAGTATAGAGTTGCTCATGAATGCTGAGTTGCTGGATTTTGTGTGTGTGTTTTTCCCCCCAAATAATGCTTCAATGCTGTTTCTTCTTTAAAAACAAAGAATTCAGATATACACATGGCAAAAAGATCAGAGAAAATGTATCAATTTTGGTCCTCCCAACTTTTGACAAGTGTTTTTATTTAATTTCATTTAGTAAGTGACTGGCAAAGGAAGTTTCTTCTTACTTTTTCTTTATTATCTACTTACTTCCTTACCATTTATTACAGGCTCTAACCCATCAAAATACTAGCAAAAAAACTAGATACAACCATATGGCCCTCAGTAGGGAACAGGTTGTACATCAATAATATTAAATACGCAGCCATTAAAATGAAAGCTAGATGTTCTGAAAACGTCCATGACCTAAATGAAAAAAATCTTAGTCACCAACATGTGTAGTTTGTTTCTGTTACTAAAGAAAAATGAAAACTATGTGCACATACATAAAGGTATGTCCATATAAACAAGTCAGGAAGAATATATATGAACTACATAGAGATGGGGCAATGTTCACTTTTTTACACAAAAATATTTTTGAGCTTGCTTTTAGTTAATTTAATACCTTAAATTTAAAAAGTACTTTTGCTATCCAAATAGACACTTTCTTGGCAAAACTTACTTGGCTAATTACAATTACATGTACATATCCATATGATCCTTAAAATTTATTACACAAAAACCCAAAAATGTTGCCTTACATTCAAATGTGTATTAAAAACAAACTCCTGGGCTGGGAAGGTGGCTCAGTGGTAGAGTGCTTGCATGCCTGAGGCCCTGGGTTCGATTCCTCAGCACCAAATAAGCAAAAAAAAAAAAAAAGCCGGAAGTGGTGCTGTGGCTCAAGTGGTAGAGTGCTAGCCTTGAGCTGAAGAGCTGAGGGACAGCACCTAGGCCCAGAGTTCAGGCCCCACAACTGGACCCAAAAATAAAAAAATTAAAAATTAAAAAAAATAATAAAACTCCTCTCTGCATATTAAGAAACAGAACAATGTGTATAGCAAGCAGCAAAAGAGCTTAATGAAGTCAACATTTAGGTTTTGAAATGCTACTGAGTTGTAATATAGTATAGTTTATACTATACTATACTGAATGTCTCCTACCCAGGATACTTAGCTATAGAACATTTTAAACACTGTTTAAAAGAGGTACAACAGATAAATAGGATCTCTATAATTCATGATACTGAGGGTATTTTTGAAGAATTCTTATTTTATAAACCTTCATGTTATATTTGAGAAGCTAAATGATTTGAACCTTAACTCTCCGTTTTCTTTCAGATGAAGTAGGTTGTGTCTAAATTGCTATATTTAAATATATTCAAGCTAAGGAATTTATTATCTGAAAGGTTTGGGGTTTTTTTTTTTTTTTTGGCCAGTCCTTGGGCTTGAACTAAGGGTCTGGGTGCTGTACCTAAGCTTATTTTACTCAATGCTAGCACTCTACCACTTGAGCCACAGTGCCACTTCCAGCTTTTTTTCCATATTGTACTGAGGAATCCAACCCAGGGCCTTACGCATGCAGGACAAGCACTCTACCACTAAGCTACATTCCCAGCCAAGGACTGTTTTAATACACACTACTCTTAAAACAGACTCTTAATCTGAGAAGTTGCTGAAAACCAAAGGTATGGGATACAGTTCACATTTAGAGTATGGTTTAATTGTGATGCTACCTGTACTTAAGACAGGCTATCTCAGATTTCAATACAGCTTTTTAAAGGAATCAACCATTCTTCTGAGAACAAAGCTTCAAAACAAAAAAGCCTAATTCCACACATCTGTGTCTGAAAACCTGGGAATAATCAGGTAATTGGCCATAAGTGACCAATACAGTCAAAGCTCAGAACTCAAAATTATCTAGTATAATTTCCATCCAAAAACAATGGTGCTGCCTATTTCGTTCCTCAAATCCCTAGCAATTTGAAAATGGGTGTAATTACAGCCACTAAGAACTAAAATGATTCATCAAGGTTTTAGAGTTTATAGAACAGAAGAAGGTAGTAAAAGAGTTGACCAAAACAACAACAAAAAACAACCTAGCACTTAGATTCTTTATGCTATTAAAAGAAGTGAGGGACAGAGATAGAGCTCAGTGGTACAGCACTTGCCATACATGCAGGAAGAACTATCCACAGCACTGCCCCTGCCCCGGGGAAAAAAGGAAACAGAGGAATGTTATGAATTCTTGTAGTGTTTCATCCATTTCACAAAACTACACTAAATAGATACTGAATAGACTTCAGTCTCTTGACTTACCAATACTTAAGGTTAGCTACTTGACAAATTCAACTTCATTTAATCTGTGGGTTTTTCCATATAGGGCTACAATATAGTAAATATTTTAGGCTTCAGGGTCTATACAGTCTGTCACATGGTTTCTGTCTTCTCTCAGCTCTAGCATTATAGGACAAAGCTAGCCTTGACTGAAGAGCTCAGGGATAGTGCCCAGGCCCAGAGTTCAAGCCCCACGACCAACAAAAAACAAAAACAAAAACAAAAACCCTAAAGCAAAAAGAACAGGGAAAATGGCTTAAGTGAAAGCATATGCCTAGCATGCATGAGGCCCCAAGTTCAAACCCCAAGAACACCAAAAAAGACAATGATTTGCACCATTTATATATAATTATTTATCTAAGTAAATAATGACTCACAATCAAATTAAGAATGGTCCACATTTGGAAAGATTATGCATGACTTTAAAACATCAGAAAGGAAGCAGCAGCCTTTTTTAATAGTTTGCCAGCCAACCCTTACTTACCTGAGAGAATTGTGATTAGTGATGCTATCAGTTACTACTTAATATACCTTTAGTATGTACTAGGCATAACGTTAACAAGCACTTATATTTCATCTTTATTATGTCAGAGATAAGGCAAAAGGCTGCGTTTTCACATTTTTTTAAGGGCTGTAAAGAAAAACAGAACATATGACAGAGACCTTGTGCAGGCCACGTTCTACTAGATGACCCTTAGACCAAGTTGCTGATGTAAACCCTGCTCCAGATATACATAGACCTAGACTAAAACAACGAAAGTATAGAAATAATTCATCATTTGGCTACAAAAGTCGGTAACAAGCACAACTATCATTTATACATAGTTCTGAGTGCAATATCAGTTCTTAGTAACTTCCCAAGTTTTGATTCCTCAGTTTAAATTTTCTAGTTTTAAGGCCTAGCACAATTTTCTTTTAGGTATTAGTATGAGTGTAACTGAGAAAAGACTATAATACTTCCTAGCATTAATGGAGGTTGGAATTCCAGTAAAAGCACTCTAAAGTGCTATAACATTTCTACAAATCAGTATGGAAAAGCACTCAAAGTGACAAAAAAAAAAAAAGGAAGAAAGAAAGAAAGAAAAAAAAAACCCAATGGTGAAAAACAAGCTAGGTGCTGGTGGCTCACGCCTGTAATCCTAGCTACTCAGGAGGCTGGGATAGAATCGCAGTGTGAAGCCAGCCTCGCCAAGGAAGTCTGTTGCTACTCTTATCTCCGCTAAACCACCAAATCTGAAGTGTAGCTGTAGCTCAAGTGGTAGAGTGGTAGCCTTGAGCGAAAAAGCTCAGGGACAGCTAGCTCTCAGGCCCAGAATCAAGTCCTAGGACCAGCACAAAAGAAACAAGCAAAAAAGGTGAAAAACAAGACAAGCAATTCAAAAGATAAACATATAGTTTAAAAAATACACACACACACACAAAAACAGCCCCGAGTGCTAGTAGCTCATAGAGGCTGAGATGCAGAGGATCAAGATTCAAAGCCAGCCCAAAGAAAAATCCTCAGTAATCCCATCTCCCCCCAAAAAACAGAAAAAAAAAAAAAAAATGAGCTGGAGGAGTGCCAGCTCAGTAAATTAGACAAGTGAGCCCTGCATTCAAACCTGGTAACATCCAAAAACAAAAATGCAGTCCTCTACTCCAGTTAAAGCAGAATACTGGGCCAAGCATTGTGGCTCACACCTATAATCCCAACTACTCAGAGGAGTCAAGAGAATGGGAGCATTGGTGTTTGAGGACAACCCAGGAAAAAGTTGGTGAAATGCCATCTCAAACAAGCCCTAGTTAGGCACTGTCCCCCAGCTACACAGGGAACCTAAGTGGGAAGATCATAAATAGGAGGATCCTGGTCTAGATCAGCCTAGGCATAAATACAAGACCCTATCTACAAAGTAGCAAAAATGATTCAAGTAGTAGAGCATCTACCTAGCAAATGTGAGACCTTCACCTCAACCCCAAGTGTTTGCCATAAATAAACAAATAAATACCACAACACCTGGGGCTGGTAACAGATGGTCTAGCTCAACGGTAGAACATATGCAGAGTTGAGTTCAATACCAAGAATACACACACATCCACCTAGCATACACACATACATGCATGACAGCTAGAACGTTAATTTTTTTGCCTGTTACATTGATAATTTCAAAATTACCAAACAACCATAGTTTAAAAAAAAGATTTGGCTACAACTATTTAACAATGGTTAGTCCTATTAAGTGCCATTATGAAACTACTTCCAAGAGTATTAAAGTGGGGGAAAAATAAGCTAAAGCTAGGGAACAAAGTGTTTGGCACTGCTGGTAATCATTTTTGGTTTTTGGTGGTTTTTGGTGTGTGTGTGTGAAGTGTGCAAAGAAGGGTCTTGCTGTGTGGCTGGAGTGAGTCTTTGCAGGCATCATCCCACTACTGAACAATATAGAACTTTTGACCAGCTCTGTTTTGGGCTAGTTTACCCTTCCTTAGGCAATCTGGTGGTCCTCGGCTCCTTGGAAGTCATCAAGTTTGTGCCAAACTCAGTCAGGACACCTGACTGGTATAGCACACTCAAGCCTAGAATTCTTGCACTCAAGCAATCTTACCATCTCAGCCTCCTAAACAGCTGGGATTATAGACATGTGCCCAAGGGTAATCATTTTTTAGAGTACTAAAAGTTATACTGAGCTACTATAAAGTAGTATGTTATTATATAACAGTAACTAAAGGCTTTTAGGCAGGTCCCAAAGTGATAAGTACAAATTATCTTTTCACATTAAGTGAACTTAAAAAACAAGCAAAAACTAATTTATATAAACAAAATTAGAAGTTGTACTTCATACATATTTTCAATTTTGTAGACAAGTGATTAATCTATTTTTCCTCCTAAGCATTATAAAATCTATTTTTAGTGCTTAAAGTGATTACAACACATTGCCAGTTTTAGCTACTGTCTTGATTTCTGTTTAAAATTCCTAAGACTTGCCTTTGTCGGTATAACTGTAATTATATCGATAGGTTTTTACACATCAAAGTTAATATAGCCAGGTACCTGTGGCTCATGCCTGTAATCCTAACTACTCAGGAGGCTGATTTCTGAGGATCATGGTTCAAAGCCAACTAGGGTAGGAAAGTCCATGAGACTCTTGAGTTTTAGCTCAAGTGGTAGAAAAAGCTCAGGGATGCTGGGTGCTGGTGGCTCATGCCTATAATCCTAGCTACTAGGAGGCTGAGCTCTGAGGATTGTGGTTCAAAGCCAGTCTGGACAGGAAAAATCCATGAAACTCTAGCCTCCAATTAATCACCAGAAAACTAGAAGCAGTGGCTAAAAATGGTAGAGCACTAGCCTTGAGCAAAAAGCGATTAGGCCCAGAGTTCAAGCCCCACAACCACCAAAAACTAAATAAATAAAAATAAATAACAAAAAGCTCAGGGACAGAGGCTGGGAAGGTGGCTCAGTGGTAGAGTGCTTGCCTTGCATGCATGAGGCCCTGGGTTGGATTCCTCAGCACCACATAAACAGAAAAAGCCGGAAGTGGCGCTGTGTTTCAAGTGGTAGAGCGCTGGCTTTGAGCTGAAGAGCTCAAAGAGCTGAGGGACAGCGCCCAGTCCCAGAGTTCAGGTCCACAACCGGCAAAAAAAAAAAAAAAAAAAAAATCAGGGACAGTGCCCAATCCCTGAGCTCAAGCCCCAGGACTGGCACGGCACACACACACAAAAAAAGGTAATATAAGCTGATAAATTTATATTGGATAAATTTATAATCTTTCTCATTTTGTTATTTTCTATTCTCAGTTGCCACATTTTTTTTTCCTCTTGTTTTGTTTTTACAGGTACTGGGGATTGAATTCTGCTAGATACGCACTATACTGCTTGAGCCATGCCTCCAAACCCTTTTTTGTTCTAGTTATTATTGTCAGTCCTGGGGCTTGATCTCAGGGCCTGGGCACTGCCCCTGAGCTGCTTCTTTCTGCTTAAGGATAGCACTCTACCACAGTGCCACTTCTGGCTTTTTCTGTTCATGTGTTATTGAGTAATCAAACCCAGGGCTTCAAGCATGCTAGGAAAGCACTCTACCACTAAGCCACATCCCCAGCCCATGTTCTAGTTATTTTTCAGCCTGTAAAATTCAGGTTTATGGGGGCTGGAGGTACATATAGCTCAAGTGGCAGGAGCTCCAGCTTAGCAAACTGAGGACCCAAGCTGAAACCAAGTTCAGGTTCATCAATATTATTCCTATATTCATTAACAGTTCTAGTACAAAAGGTTTTCTCAAACCTTTCCACAAGACTAAAGAAATAAAAAAATCCAAGTTTTCTAATGACTAAAATCTTTAGGATACAATAGATATATGTAAGCTATGCTTGTAATTTTAAATTCTCTATTAACCACATATTAAAAGTGAACATTTCAAGCATTTAATCCAAAATAAAATGCCTTTTTTTTTTTTGAAGCAGGGTCTCACTATGAAACCCAAGCTGGACTCATTCTCCTGTCTGCTTCCTATGTACTAAGATTACATGTGTGTGCAAACACATCTGGCGCTTGAAGGTATTATTTCTGTAAATAATGAATAATCACTTGTTAGTAGTTAATAAATAAAATCAGCAAAATGTTTAATTTTTTTGCTGTAGTATGGTCCCTAAAACTCTAGTGTTATTCACATCAACACACATCAAATACAGCTACATGCTGCTGAACAGTACAGTTCTAGAGAATGAGGTTAAACTGTGCAATCTGTTGACAAAAATCCAAGCTAAGAATCTTCTTCGCCCCTAATTACAAATGAGTTTTTAGTCACATTATCATGTTAAAGTTTGCCTACTACAAAGTATACCAAATTAGGTCTGACTTAGAAAAAAATAATTCATGGTCTATGTATCTTAAAAACAAAAACAAAATCCAACTCTTTGAAAATAAAATCTAAAATGAAGAAAGATTCTGATGATTGGTGAGTGATCATACACCACATTAGCAGCACTCCATTTACCAGGCAATAAAATAGAGTTGGGGATGTTGTTCAGTTGATAAAAGCACATACCAAACATGCAGAAGGTTCTAGATTCTATCACTAGCACCACAAAAAAAAAAAAAAAAAACTCACACACACACACAAAAAAAATCTATACATTAACAAAGTACTTTTTCATAAATCAAGCAACTAGAAAATTAGTGGTACCTTCGCAAACTTGAAGAATGGTCTTGGATCTTTTCTGAAATAATCAATATCAAACATAGATTGAGGATCTGGAAGATCTGGGAAGTCTACTGCAAGGCGAGCATAAATACCATCTCTTGATCTGAAGTCAGGTATTCCACATGAAACAGATACCTGAAAATATGCGTGACATACAACTTTTACTCCTACCTGAGTAATAATGAGCTCCCTTACTACACCATTTAGGGAAGAAATAGTTTTATTTTTAAACTTCCTTAGGGGAATGGAACTACTATAGAAGTAACAAACAGAAGTAACAAAGCCAAATAAGTATCTCTAACCTATCACATAATCTATTTTTAATGGATGTAAGGAAGTTGGGCTAATTTGAAACCTAACACTTAACTAACAAAAATGACCACAATGTAATTGAAAACAAAATTAAATCAATTCAACCAATTTATTTTACGTTAGAAATCAAGCAAGAATTTTTATTACAAATGATTTCCAAAGAAATAAGTTTGTGGACTGGGAAAGTGGCTTAGTGGTAAGAGGGCTTGTCTAGAAAATGCGAAGCCCGCCGGGCACTGGTGGCTCACGCCTGTAATCCTAGCTACTCAGGAGGCTGAGATCTGAGGATCACGGTTCAAAGCCAGCCCGGGCAGGAGAGACTGTGAGACTCCTATCTCCAATAAACCACCAGAAAACCGGAAGTGGCGCTGTAGCTCAAGTGGTAGAGCACTCGCCTTGAGCTGAAGAGCTGAGGGACAGCGCCCAGGCCCAGAGTTCAAGCCCCACGACCGACAAAAAAAGAAAAAGAAAATGCGAAGCCCTGGGTTCCATTCCTCAATGCCATATACACAGAAAAGGCCGGAAGTGGCACTGTGAGCTCAAGTGGTAGAGCGCTAGACTTGAGCAAAAGAAGCTTAGGAACCAGAGCCCAGGACCAGCCAAAAAAAATAAATGAATAAAAATACTAAGCTTGTATATTCTCTTTTTTTGGTGGCACTAGAGTTTGACCTCAGGGCCTTGCTCTTGCTAGGCAGATGCTCTACCACTTGAGCCTTACCCTCAGTCTTGTATTTTTTTTAAATACTTCATCATAGATGGCCATGGTGCCAAACCTCTAATCCAAGCCCTTAAGATATGAGGAAGTGTCGCTATGGCTCAAGTGGCAGAGTGCTAGCCTTGAGCTCAGAGAGGCTCAGGGACTGTGCCCAGGCTGAGTTCAAGCCCCACAACTGACAGAAAAATAAAACAGCCAGAAGGATCAGGAGTTTAACATCAGCCTGGGGTACATAACAACACCCTAAAAATAGTTATGTGTGTGTTTGTAAGGTAGGGATGCCCGTAGTGCCAGCAACTCAGGAGGATGAGACAGGTGGATTTCCCGAGCCCTGAAGGTTGAGGCCAACTAGGGAAACAGTTTCAAAAAAAACAACGCTGAACACTGGTGGTTCATGCTTGCAGTCCTACTCAGGAGGCTGAAATCTAAGGATCACAGTTCAAAATCAGCCCATGCAGACAAATTCATAAGACTTTTTTTGGGGGGTGGGGGGGGTCAGTCATGGGGCTTGAACTCTGGGCTTGGGCACTGTCCCTCAGCATTTCAGCTCAAGGCGAGTGCTCTACCACTTGAGCCACAGCGCCACTTCCGTTTTTCTTGTGGTTTATTGGAGATAGAAGTCTTGCGGTCTTTCCTGCCCCTGCTGGCTTTGAACCACGATCCTCAGATCTCAGCGTCCTGGGTAGCTAGGATTACAGGCATGAGCTACCAGCGCCCAGAAATAAGAGCTGTGACTCAATTCATAAGAGCACCAGCCTTGAGAGAAAAAACTAAGGAGCAGCACTAGGCCTTAAGTTCAAGCCCCAGTGCCAACTTAAGTCAATAATGAAGTAAGCAAGTAAGCTAGGCACGGTGGTACACACCAATTATTTCCAGCACTTGAGAGGAAGAAGCAGGGTTCTAAGTTCTAGACCAGCTAGGGTATATTTTTGTGCGTGTGGATGTGTATGACTATCACAAAAAAAATGACATAAAACCATAAGAAAATACAAATTGCAATGCACAGTATTTCAATTTTTTAAAAGTAGATTTTAGATACTTTTTCTACTAACAAATCCTGACATTTCAAGTAGGGAATTGAGAAGTTATTATTTGTTTCATGCCAATTCCAGGGCTTGATTTCAGGGCCTTGAACTCTCAGTTTTTTTAGTTCATGGCTGGGACTCTACCACTTGAGCCACACCTCCAGTCTGGCATTCTAGTTAGTTCAAGATAAAGTCACAAATTTAACAGAGTTGGTGCCACCTTGACCTCAGTGTAAATCAAACTAATATCACATCTGTGAGCAAAATCTATACTGAGGCTGCAGGTGCATCAAACACCAAGCTTATGCTTATTTAGCATACTTATTAGGTTCTGGATCTGATCCTCAGCACCAAAAAAGAAAACAAAACTTTCTTGATGATTATTTAATACTTTTTTTTTTTTTTTTGTCAGTCATGGGGCTTAAACTCTGGGCCTGGGCACTGTCCCTCAACTCTTCAGCTCAAGGCAAACGCTCTACCACTTGAGCCACAGCATCACTTTTGGCCTTTTTGTGCTTATGTGGTGCTGAGGAATCGAACCCAGGCCCTCATGCATGCAAGGCAAGCACTCTCCCACTGAGCTACCTTCCCAGCCTATTTAATACTCTTTTAAAACTAAATAGTAGAAAGCAGGACTGAATATTACTCCAATTGCTCTAGTTGCTAATGTTTTACACACTCAACACACAATATCAATAGCCTAAGATGAGTCAAAAAATGTCAATTTTTTGTCAATGTCCTATTACTTCCCAACACTAACTTCTTATCATCAGGTAAGCTCTTTGATTATCAATTAGGTTTTCTCAATGAAAATTGACCAAATACCAACAGCTCCACCAGACTCTGACATACCTTAACACACAAGCAGAATGTAGGTAAAAATTCTGCCTTAACCTCACTTACCTACTGTGCTAGGAGCAGATAAGAGGTGTAGAGGTGTAGGGGTGTGTGTGTGTGTGTGTGTGTGTGTGTGTGTGTGTGTGTGTGTGTGTGTGTGTGTGTGTGTGTGTGTGTGTGTGTGTGTGTGTGTGTGTGTGTGTGTGTGTGTGTGTGTGTGTGTGTGTGTGTGTGTGTGTGTTGGTTAATTGGAGACAAGTTTTTCAAATGTATCTGTCTAGGATACCTTCAAACCTCCATCCATGGAATTCAGTCTCCTGAGCAACTAGGCTTATAATTGGTAGGTGTGAGCTACTGGCACCTGGCCAAAAGTATGTATTTTTTAAGGCTATTGGAGTTTTTCTAAAATCTGAACCATTTAGCAATACTGTTACCCTTAGTGTGGGGCCATTTCACCCATTATCACCAAGGATTACTTTTTTTTTTTTTTGGGGGGGGGGTCCGGTCGTGGGGCCTGAACTCTGGGCCTGGGCGCTGTCCCTCAGCTCTTCAGCTCAAGGCTAGCACTCTACCACTTGAGCCACAGCGCCACTTCCGGCTTTTTTCTTTTTGCTTATGTGGTGCTGAGGAATCGAACCCAGGGCCTCCGGCATGCAAGGCAAGCCCTCTACCACTGAGCCACCTTCCCAGCCCCAAGGATTACTTTTCTACAGCAGAAAAAGAAGAAAATGGAAAAAGAGTAAGAAAATCTATACACCACTTCTCCCTTTGCTAGTGTTTTCTACATCTTACATACCCCAGCTCCAGTTAGAACAATTATTTTTTTGCACTCTTGGAGTAATTTCACAGCATCTTCAATTGTATTAATATCTTTTCTTTTTTTTCTTTTTGGTGGTTCTGAAAGGATATTAATTACAATCTGCCACAGTGTCATATCATCCAATTCAGGTGGAGGAATTGTGTCTGGCAGTAAATCTTTAAGAATTGTTCGAGGATCTGTGCCAATCATGAGATGTTGCTGAACAAAAGTATATGGACCTATATTAAGAGAAAAAGACTTAGGTAAGTTTTCTTCTAAGTAATCAGAAAAATCGCATTTATTTTCTGAAGTAATGAGTCAGCTATCTATAAGGTTTTATGCAAAGTAAGAAAATGCAACTTTAAAGGCACTTCACTCTCAGTATACCCTTCACAGTTAATGCTATATCCCAAAGTTACAGAGATCTAATCAATACTTGAAGGGACTCCTTATGCTTTAAACAGTCAAAATAAAGGGATGTGAAGGGAATATCTCAGTGGTAAAACACATGCTTAACATTCATAAGCCCAGGGTTTAAACCTCTGCACCTCCCCACCACCAAAAGAAAAAAGTGCAGCTAATTACCAATGTAAGTTTTTGTGGTTAAAATCAAGAATTACAGAACATAGTAACAAGTTATTTTTTAACGGTTCAGTAAACTATGGAAAACATTTTAAAAGTCCTGAAATTCCATGTTAAATAACATGAGAGACTGGTTAAATAACATCAGGGAGACAGAAGAGACAAGAAAAATATTCATAAGTAAATCTTTTCTATTTTTTCAGCAATAACCTTCAGTTTCATGATACAAACAATGCTGTCTCAAGCATTAATAATTCTTTGCCTTGAGGCTGCTTAGATCAGCTATCTAACTTGAAAAAATTAAAAATGTATGTTATTATGTTTAAATGGCTAATCCATTTGGAAAAGTAAGAACACAGGAAAAAAAATATCACTATCAATATAGTTATATCACAGAACTAGGATATAGCTCATTGGTAGAACATTGCGTACCTAGAATATACGAAGCCCTGAGGCTTGATCTCTTGGTATAAAACTCTGATAATGTAGGTCCATGTGTATAATTCAAAGATAGAGTATTGCCTAGAATGTGTGAAGCCCCGAGTTTGATCCCCAACAAATATAAAAAAAATGATAATGTACTCTATTTCAAAATTCTTTACCAAGGGGCTGTGGTTAGTATCAGAAAGGTCCAGGGTTTGATACACAACACCAAAAGGAAAGAAAAAAACCTTTCCCAACTCATTCATGTATGTAATACTGAGCAAACTACATGTGAGGCATCTTACTTTGACAATGTAAAACAGAAATAGTATATGACCACATTAAATACAACTGAAAAAAAGACTGTTAAGTGTCAGATATTAAGAAAAAGGGTCCGGCACCAGTGGCTCATGCCTGTAATCCTAGCTACTCAGGAGGCTGAGATCTGAGGATCATGGTTCAAAGCCAGCCTGGGCAGGAAAGTCCCTTGAGACTCTTATCTCCAATAAAACACCAGAAAACCAGAAGTGGCTCTGTGGGTCTAGTGGTAGAGTACTTGCCTTGAGCTGAAGAGCTCAGGGACAGTGCCCAGGCCCAGAGTTCAAGCCCCATGACTGACCAAAAAAAAAAAAAGGGTGGGGGTGGGGATGTCAAGCCAAAAGATAGTGGCTTTTAATCCTTGTAATTATACTTGTAATCCTGATAATCAGGAAGCTGAGACCAAGCAAGTTTGCCGAGATAGCATGGGCAGAAAATTCTGCAAAACTCCATTTCCAATTAATCACCAAGTGCTCAACTGGAAATGAAGCTTAAAAAATGAGGCAAAAAAGTCAAGCAAGCTTGAGGCCTGGATTTCAAGTCCCAGTGCTAGCTAAAAATAATTAAAAAAAAAAAAAAAAAAAAGATGTCAAATGAAGGGAGAAGACATTCTAGCTAGAGAACTGGAGGAAGAACTTTCTGAGGTGTACCTGGCTATTCTTTTTTTTTTTGGTCGTGGGGCCTGAACTCGGGCCTGGGTGCTGTCCCTCAGCTCTTCAGCTCAAGGCTAGCGCTCTACCACTTGAGCCACAGCGCCACTTCCGGCTTTTTTCTTTTTGCTTATGTGGTGCTGAAGAATCAAACCCAGGGCCTCATGCATGCAAGGCAAGCGCTCTACCACTGAGCCACCTTCCCAACCCCTACCTGGCTATTCTTTATGGTCTGACCTGTTAAAAACAAAAATAGAACTGGGAACAGTGGTAAAGCCTGCCTAGCATATGCAAGGTCATATATTCAATCCCAAGCCCTGAATACCACCCCCCTCCAAAAAAAAAAAAAAATACCACCATAAAACCACCACACATAGCTAAAAACCTAAACCCAGGCTAAAAGAACAGAAAAAAATTAAAGTTGGTACAAAAGAAAAAGGCATTCATTCCAAAGCTGCACAACTCTTAGCCATACCTATCCGTGGCCTTGGGGTCCAGTCACTGGAGCTGGCATGTGAAGCTCTGTCATCCTCATCACTTTCACAAGAATGAAAACCATTAGTGATAATTTCATCACTGAACAGAAGGTTATCTGCAAAAGAGATCAAAAGTAACTCAGGGCTGCTGAAACATTTGCATCTAAAATGAAAACCTATAATGGTACAAAGCAACCATTTTCACTGACTAAAGGAGTTAACTTTCAGCTGGGGACTGGTGGCTCACGCCTTAATTCTAGCTACTCTGGAGGCTGGGATCTGAGGATCATGGTTCAAAGCCAGCCCAGACAGGAAAGGCCGTGAGACTCATCTCCAATTAACCACCACAAAACCAGAAGAGGTGCTGTGGCTCAAATGGTAGAGCCCTCACCTTGTGCTGAGAGAGCTCGGCCCCATAACCGATGAAATTTTTAAAAAGTTAACATTCATATTGCATATGTAGAGAATGCATACACAGTGAATGCACCATTCACCAGAGCAGTTCTGTCATCTACAGGGATTCTGCACAGAATCTGAATTTCAGTAAATCAAAAGCTATAAAGGTTAGGTCCTGGCTCAAGCAATAGATTGCCTGTTTAGCAAGCACAAGGCTCAGAGTTCAAATCCTAGTACCTCCAAAAATTAATAATAATTTATAAATCTTTAAAACAGTTACTCAGGGAGGTGAGATAGGAAGATCACAGTTCCAAGCCAGCCTGGGCATGAAAGCTCAAGAGACTCTATCTCCAGTTAACCACCAGAAGGCCAAAGTGGAACTGTGGCTCAAGTGGTAGATCGCTTGCTTTGAGCTAAAGAGCTCAGGGACAGCGCGCCCAGGCCAGCGTTCAAGCCCCACGACTGACCAAAAAACCAAAAGAGGGGCTGGGAAGGTGGCTCAGTGGTATAACTCTTGCCTTGCACGCATGAGTCCCTGGGTTGATTCCTCAGCACCACATAAACAAAAAGGAAAAAGCCGGAAGTGGTGCTGTGGCTCAATTGGTAGAGCGCTAGCCTTGAGCTGAAGAGCTGAGGGACAGCGCCCAAGCCCAGAGTTCAGGCCCCATGACCGGACCCAAAACACAACAAAACAAAACAAACCAGGCGGGCACCGGTGGCTCATGCCTGTAATCCTAGCTACTCAGGAGGCTGAGATCTGAGCATCATGGTTCAAAGCCAGCCCGGGCAGGAAAGTCCATGAGACTCTTATCTCCAATAAACCACTAGAAAACTGGAAGTGGCGCTGTGGCTCAAGCAGTAGAGTGCTCGCCTTGAGCTGAAGAGCACAGGGACAGCGCCCAAGCCCAGAGTTCAAGCCCCACAACCGACAAAAAAAAAAAAAGGAAGGAAGGAAGGAAAGAAAAGAAAGGAAGGAAGGGAGGGAGAGAGAGAGAGAAAGAAAACGAAAAACAAACCACTAAAAACAAACCACTAAAACAAGATGGGCAGTAGTGGCTCACACTTGTAATCAAAGCTACTCCCCAGACAGACTGGGAGAATCCTGGTTATAGGCCAACCTGAGTAAAATGTTCATGAGACACCACCTTAAACATATAAATCAGGAATGGTGGAGAAGGACTGTAATTACAGGTACAGGGAGGCATAAGAGGATGCTGGTTAGAGGCCAATGTTAGGCAATAACAAAAGATCTGTCCAAAAAAAGGATATGGTTGTGGCAACCAGAAGATCCTGAATTTAAATCCCACTAACAAAAAAAAAAAAGTAAAGATGACAGAGAAGGTTGCTGCAAGTGGTAGAGCACTACCTGTGAGCAGAAAAAAGGAGAATTCGAGACCCTGACTTGAAACACACACTCAAAAGATAAAAATAAGGGGCTGGGAAGGTGGCTCAGTGGTAGAGCGCTTGCCTTGCATGCATGAGGCCCTGGGTTCGATTCCTCAGCACCACATAAGCGGAAAGAAAAAAGCCTGTGAGACTCTTATCTCCAATAAACCACTAGAAAACTGGAAGTGGCACTGTGGCTCAAGCAGTAGAGTGCTCGCCTTGAGCTGAAGAGCTGAGGGACAGTACCCAGGCCAAAAATAAATAAATAAAGAGCCAGCATTCAGGAGGCAAAAGCAGGACAGTGAACAACTCACGGCTAACCTGGCCTATGTAGGAAGCTCCAAGCTAATATGGACTATGAAAACTAGCCCCCCAAAACTGGAAAGCAACTTTTTTTTTTTTTGTCTATCATGGGGCTTGAACTCTGGGCTTGGGCGCTGTCCTTGCTCTCTTCAGCTCAAGGCGCCCGCTCTACCGTTTGAGCCACAGCGCCACTTCCAGTTTTCTAGTGGTTTATTGGAGATAAGAGTCTCATGGACTTTCCTGCCTGGGCTGGCTTTGAACCACGATCCTCAGATCTCAGTCTCCTGAGTAGCTAGGATTACAGGCATGAGCCATTGGTGCCCGGCATGGAAAGCAACTTTTAAAAAGTCAAAACAGAGAGGCGGTTTGGGCTCAGTGGTCAAGAGCTTGTGAGGCTTGCCAAGCTCTAGATTGGGTCCCCAGCACCTCAGGGGAGGGGAATGTAGCAGTCAAGACCAAAAGTGTCAATGAGCTAAAAGAACTGAGGGACAGCGCCCAGGCCCAGAGTTCAGGCCCCACGATCGGACTCCCCCCCCCCAAAAAAAAAGTAGTCCTAACTAAAGTTCTGAAACTTTCCAGTTGACACCCAATGTTAACTGTATCACAGAAAAGTAGAAGTTGCGTGGGTTTTTTTTTAATTTGAAGGCAATGCCTATTATTATTAAGTTGGGTATTCTAATATATATATATAAACTTAAGAGTTTTAAGAAAACATGACTCACCAAAAAGGAAGAGGAGAAGAGAGAGGAAGAAGAGGAGGAGGAGGAAGAAATTGCACAGGTGTCAGTTTGCAAAATGTAGTTACAAAAGGTCGATCAATGCGACGGCCAAAAGTTTCAGGCTTAAAGGTTGGGGGGGGGGGGGAGGCCGAATTCTGTTTAAAAGAAATCTTAAGAAGTCTTAAAGCAAAGCACTACAAGATGAGGAGGAGGAGGCGGCGGCGGCAGAGGGGGAGGAGAGGGAGGGAGAGGAGGGGGGGAGGAAGGGAGGGAAAACTTCAAGACGACGGCGAGAGCTCCCGAGACTGCGCACAGCGCCGGGCGGCCGAGGCGCGCGGCGGGGCCGAGGGCCGCGCGGAGCCCGTGCGGAGCCCGTCCCGCCGCCGGGTCCCCGCACACACTCCTCTGCCCTGGGAGGGGCCCCGCACCGGGAAGGGAGGCTAGCCCGCGCAGTGCCGGCCGCCCGCGCCCCGCGCACCTCGGTACTGCAGCGCCTCCGCGGCCGCCTCTTCCTCCTCGTCGCCCTCGTCGTCGTCGTCGTCGTCGTCGAAGTCCTCGGCCGGCGGCGGCTCCCGGGCTAGGCCTTGCAGGCCCGGCCCATTGTCTCCTTCTCCGGCCGCGGCCGTCGCCGGGGCCTCCCGCTCCCCTCCCGCCGCCGCCGCCGCCTCCGCCGCCAGGCCGTCCCCGGCCGCCGCTGCCTCCCGCTCCGGGGCCGCCCCACCGGGCTCGCCCGGGCTCCGCCCGAGGCCGGGGCTGTCCCTGCGCGGCCTCTTGCGGAGCGGCTCCCCGGCGGGCGGCGACGCGGCCTCCCTCTCGGCCGCCACGGAGGGGGAGCCGCCGGGCTGAAGGGCGAGCGCCGCCTCGTCCGCCATCTTCCAACTGCCTCTCTGGCCCGCCCGCCTCGCCTCCTCCGCTCCCGCTCGACGCGAGGCACTGGCGCCCCCGCGGCTCCGGCTGCGGGAGATTTAAACCCCGTCACGTGACCCGCCCCCCACGCCGCCGCCGCCGCCGCCGCCGCCCACGCGGGCCGGACCACAACACGGCGGGTCACGTGGCGAGGCGGGCGCGCGGGCGGGCGGAAGCGCGCCCCACCCCCGCGGCGACCCGCGCGGCGGCGGCGTCGTCGTGCCGCCGGGCTCGCCGCTCGCCGCCGCGGCGTCGCCTCCCCCGCCGCGCGCCCAGCTCCTTCCCGGCGCGGGCTTGCACACCTCGGCATTCAGACTGGGGGGCGCGGGGCGGGGAGTTGGTTCCTGAGGGCCGAGGAAGGGGTGCGCCTGGCCGGCGACGCCGGTTACGGCGCGGAAGGACCGGGAGGAGGAGGAGGAGGCGAAGGGCCCCGCGCTCCGCGGCCTCCCCGCCCCGGCGACAGCTCCTCCGGCGGCGCCTGCCTCCCCCAGCCCGCGCTCGTCCTTCCCGCCATCACCTGCAAAGCGCTCCGTGTGAACTGTCAAACCCGGGCCGGGAGGTGCGCGCACGCGCACGCGCGCGCCCAGGCCTTTGGCCTAGGGGTTGGCCTCCTAGGTCTGCTTTTTTGGTTTTGGTGGGGGCACTGGGCTTGAACTCAGGGCCTGGGCGCGCTGTCCCTAAGCAGTCTGGGGCTCAAGGCTACCTCTACCACTTGAGCCACGGCTCCACTTCCAGTTTTTTGCTGGTTCGATGGAGATAAAGAATCTCACGGGCTTTCCTTGCCCAGGCAGCCTTTGGACAGTGATCCTCATAACTCGACCTTCTGAGTAGCTAGGATTGATTTACAGGCATGAGCCACACCAGCGCCTGCAAAGACCTGCTTTCTGGCCTCAAGTGTGGGTTGATTCCCACCACTGGGACCCAGTTCTCTCACGTGTAGAATTAGTATATTGGGTTATGTGAGGCAGCCAGGGTCGCTGAGAGAGAACACACATCTGGGCTGGGTTCAAATTTGGCTCTATCCTTTGTCACCTGACCAAGTGACAACCTTCTTTTTTTGGGGGGGGGAGCCTAATTTTTCTCATCTCTAAAATAATACATGGAGGACTGGGTTATTGTGAAAATTGAGACAGCCAAATTTAAAAAAAAAAATCAGAGGTGAGCCCCGTGCTGGCAGTTCACGCCTGTAATCCTAGCTACTCAGGAGGCTGAGATCTGAGGATCGAGGTTCAAAAGCAGCCCAGGCAAGAAAAGTCCGTGAGATCTTATCTCCAATAAACCAGAAAACAGGAAAGTGGCACTGTGGCTCAAGTGGTAGAGTGCTAGCCTAGAGCTGAAGATCTGAGGGACAGTGCCTAGACCCAGAGTTCAAGCCCCATGACCAAAAAAAAGTCAGAGGTTGAAGTCATTCACTTTACATTTACCCTGAAATTCTGGGCCTCTGTCATAGCACATGAAGTCTTAATTAAGGACCCATATTATATGAGAGCTCCAGAGCTTGGATTTGGTATGGCACCTTCCTGGAGTGTAGCATTTCTATTCACTTACAGAATTCTTCCAAGTTTATCATACACCACCCTCTAAACTTAACAGAGGTCCTGGTTGTATCCCCAGCTGTCTACCTGTGTTAGCTTAGGCAGTCTAGTTCATGTTTCTCCATCTCTAAAAATAAAATTAGAATGCTAGAAATTGTCTCTTAAGTTCCATCTACATCCAAGTTGTTGTATCTCAAAATAAATAGAGTCAGGCACTGGTGGCTTATGCCTATAATTCCTACCTACTCAGGAGGCTAAGATCTGAGGATCACAGTTTGAAGCCAGCCCAGGTGGGAAAGTCCATGACACCCTGACCACCACTTAAAAACAAACAAAAAACACTACCAAAAGAGCTGGAAGTAGAGCTGTACCTGTGGTGGAGCACTAGCTTGAACACAAAAGCTCAAGGACAGTGCCCAAGACCCAGAGTTCTAGCCCCAGGACCAGCACCCTAATTTCTCTCCCCCCCAAATGACACTTTACCCCTTTATCTGGTCAATGTTTGTTGCTAAAAGTATCTTTTATGTCAAAATTGTAAAGTCCTCATTAAAGTTACTCTTCAACATGATCTCCTCTAAATAATCAATGACCAACCCCATTGCCCTTCCTTGCTGCTTGCACATGCCTGGCTACAGAGCCATCTCACTTCTTCCTGACCTATTTGGCCCTGTTCTCTATTTTGTCTATTTTACAAAATTTTTTCATAAATGGCTTCTCACATAGGTGGACTGTTTGAGAGTCTGTGTACCATTAAGACAGAAACAACATTCCTAGTTTTCTTGGGGGGAAAAATTAAGTTTCTGAGCTATGAACATCCTATTATTTATTCACCTATATTTGTTGTATAGTAACATCACAAGTTTATGAATTAAGAGAAGTGCTGTGGCCAATATGATTCTTCCCTTGCAGAAAGGTTAGAAATGGAATATGTGTGCAGGTAAAATAAATGAGAGACGAGTTGCATTAAAAACCACAATAAGGGGCTGGGAAGGTGGCTCAGTGGTAGAGGGCTTGCCTTGCATGCCTGAGGCCCTGGGTTCGATTCCTCAGCACCACATAAGTAAAAAGAAGCTGGAAGTGGTGCTGTGACTCAAGTGGTAGAGCGCTAGCCTTGAGCTGAAGAGCTGAGGGACAGCGCCCAGGCCTAGAGTTCAGGCCCCACGACCGGACCCCCCCCCAAAAAAAAAACAAAAATACACCACAGTAACAAAAAGCTCTTACTTGTCCAGGCTCAGTGGCTCAAGATTGTAATCCTAGATACCTAGAAGGTGATGAGAACACAGTTTGAGGGAAAATTCTGCAAAAACAAAAAAAAACTTCACCAATGGCTGAGCACACTCACCCACACTTGTCATCCATTGTGCGCATCTGTCATCCCAGCAGGAAAGAGAGGTACAAATAGGAGCTCCGTCCAGACCTTCATGGACATGAAAAGACCCTATCTTGAAAGTAACCAACATCTCCCTCATGCCTGTAATAATAGCTACTCAGGAGACTGAGATCTGAGGATCACTGAAGCCACCTGGGCAGGAATGTTTGTGAGACTCTTTGTGTGTGTGTGTGTGTGTGTGTGTGTATTGGTCTTTGGGCCTGAACTCTGGGCCTAGGCAGTGTCCCTCAACTCTTCAGCTAAAGGCTTACGCTCTATTGCTTGAGCCACAGTGACAGTTCCAGCTTTTTCTGCTTATGTAGTGCTGAGGAATTGAATCCAGGGCCTCATGCATGCAAGGCAAACACTCTACCACTGAGCCACCTTCCCAGCCCCTGTGAGACTCATCAACAGCTTGAAATAAAGCTGTGGCGAAAATGGTAGAACACCAGCCCTTAGTTAAAAAGCTAAGGGACAGCACCTGGGCCCTGAGTTCAAGCTCCACTACTGACAAACACCCTGAAAGAAAAAGAAAGAAAGGGGGTGGGGGAAGGATGGAGGAGGAAAAGGGAGGGGAAGGGCCCCCCAAAACCCTCAAGAAGTAGGGTGCCTGCTTAGGTTGAAATTGGGGGTGTAGCTCAGTGGGATTGTGCTTGCCTTGTATCTGCAAAATCCTGGGTTGATCCCTAGCATCACACACACACACACACATGCGCACACACACACCCTAGTTACATTCACAAACTTATCTGATGCAGTATTTTCATGGTTTAAGGTGTGTTATTTTCTCATTTTGATTAGGTTATAAGATAGGTAGACTTCTCTACAGAGCTTAGTCTTCTGTAACTTATCAAACATCATTTGACAGTTATGTAGGGATTCTAAACTATATAGCAAACAGACTGGTAATGCAGCCTGCTTTTCACCAGTGTTTAAAAGACAGTGATGCCAGATACCAATGGCTCATTGTCATAATCCTAGTACTCAGGAGGATGAGATCTGAGGATTATAGTTCCAGCCAACCAGGCAGGAAAGTCTATAAATCTCATATCTCCCCTGTTAAGCACCAAAAAAAAAAAAAAAAGCCCGACCACCAAAAAAAAAAAAAAAAGCCCGACATGGAGTGGTAGAGTGCTAGCCTTAAGCAAGAAATCTCAGGGACAGAGCCCAGGCCCTGAGTACAAGTCCCAGGATTATTGTGCATGCACGTGTGCATGCATGTTAACACACACACACACACACACTCTGTGTTAGTGTACACTTTGATAACTACTTTAAAACATTTTTTAAGAGACCAAGATCATGACTCAAGTGATAGAACACTTGTCTTGCAACACAAGTCACTGAGTTCAAACCCTAGTGCCACTAATCAACCAACAAACAACATTTTAGAAGCTGCCTTTAATTCTAGCTATTCAGGAACCTGAGATCCAGAGGATCAAAACTCAAAGCTAGCCCATGCAGAAAGATCTAAGAGACTTTATCTCCAAAATAACTAGCAAAAAGCCAGAGAGGAGATGTGGCTCATGGAATTCAGTGACAACCAAGTAACTGAACAATTGTGCTGCCTTTAATTCCAATCCCAACTCCAGTTGGGAAACACAATCCTAATTAACCAGCAAAAAGCCACACTGGACATGTAGTCAGATAGTAGAGTACCTGCTGTGAGCAGAAAAAGCCAAGTCAGAGCATGAGGATCTGAGTTCAAGCTCTGGTACCAGAAAGCAGTCAGTTAGGTAAATGTTTATGTGTTGTTTTTGAACTGCATTTTTTTTCTTTTCTTTTTTGGTATTGAGGATTTAACCCAGGATATTACTTGCGAAGCAAGCTCTTTGTCATTGGGCTACAACATCCCAGCCCTGTGTATGACTTTGAGCCAATGTAAAAAACCTTTGAACATTTCAATATAACACCATCATGTTCCAGTTAAAAGAATCTGCTCAGTCGGGCGCCTGTGGCTCATGCCTGTAATCCTAGCTACTTAGGAGGCTGAGATCTGAGGATTGAGGTTCAAAGCCAGCCTGGGCAGGAAAGCCCATGAACCTCATCTCCAATTAATCACCAGAAAAACAGAAGTGGCACTGTGGCTCAAGTGGTAGAGGGCTAACCTTGA